ATTGCTAATATTGTCATGTAAGTAAAATTAGGGTTTTTGAAAGAAAAAATCCGACATAAGTGTAATTGTATGTCTATTTTGTGGGTCTCGATGCTGCTAATTAAGCTTTTTATTTTGTGTGTTTCAAGACAAGTTCTTGCAGATCCAAACCCCAAACCCCGACGTAACTGTCTCTGCTTTTGTCCAGTTCACATTTTTTCGAATTCGAGACGATCAAATTTTGTTTTGATTTTTCCCGGTGTGACTCAAACCCTACTTGTGTTGGATAAGACTGAACCTCGGATTTTAAACTTGATTGATTGACACAATAATCTCTTTTTGTATACTAAAAAGAGTTAAACAAAACAAGAATTATTTGCAAGTTTATGTATGATCTACCTAATTTCCTCAATTAAGTCAACTACCTAATTCTCCCCAAACATTTAAAATAAAATTATTCTAAATACAAAACTGGCATTGAATTTGTTTTAAGTTGGCTATACACTCGAATGTGTGTAACATTAATCACACTTATTCTTCCCTAATTATGAAAAATGTAGATACTTTTTAAAAAAAAAATTAAAGAAAAAACAAAGGAATCTGATTTGAAATGAAAAGTAAATGCTTGCCGTTTTTCTTACACTCCTCGCTGTTTTTCATTTCACCCAAAGTCCCAAACTACTATAACCATTGTAACCATTATAGAACAAAAAAGGTTCCTCTTGACATCATTTCATCTCCTCAGCGAATATGATATCGAAGATGTGTTGCACTGCACAAGAGACATCATAGAAAAAGCTAAAATCAGACGCACACCTTTACAAAATTTCATTTTTTCATAACGCAAAACATAACAATCGAAGAAGAATACGCGTTTTTGTCAATGTGTTTACCTTCGTCTTTCGGGATATTTGGCTGATCAATCACGAGGCACTGTAGCGCATTAAGATCTTCAGAACTATACAGCAGTAAAACAAGAACATAAGACTCATTCTAAACAAATTACCAAACATTTGAATATAAGACGATCTCGGTACCTTGGTTTCAGGATAAGACATGAAAGTGCCGAAAATAATGAAGATTTAAGATGGTATCTGCAGGATTTTAAAAGCACAAAGATTATGATTTTGTAAGTCAATCATAACTAAGCTGATTCTGTTTGCTTACTCTGATTGATGCATGTCATAAAGAAGAGAAAGTCCCTCCAAGCAATCTGCAATGCAAGGTTTTACTCCAATCCGTTCTTCTACTCGCTTCTTGCTCTGTTCCATTTTCAGTAATTGCGACCCTTCTCGATGTAGCTTCTCTAATGCCAAAACACAGCCTCGGAATTCCTCCCTTCCATCATCAACACATAAGTTAAACACACATGCTAAAAAAAATTAAATATTTCAACAATTCTTTACTACTACTTGAACTTCAACTCTTATGTCAGCAACAATTTAATGAAATACTTACAAAATTTTTTTCATGGAAAGCAAAAGAGTGTCCAATTGATCCATCTGTTGCTGCACAACCGCGTCTTCAATCCCCTTCACGCATCTTAAAGCTCCATAGCTCCCATGGTTTTGCATTGCCTACTTTCATTCCAAAAAAAAATCACACATACAGTTTTGATGATTTCCGACAACAAACACGGTAATTCTAGTAACCTGTAATCTCTGGATGATAGAAGAAGCGTTTCTAAAGAGGGAAACCCATCGAACTTGAAGTGCCTCCCACTTTTCCATCTCCTCCTTCCCTTTTCTAAACTTCTGTTGCCATTTCCTAATTACTGCCTCCATTCAGAACACTCTACGAACTCCACTATTGCAACCTAGAAAGATACAAGTATGCCTTTGGGTTTAAGCCTCCCACAAAAAGGGGTTAATTAAGGTAGAATGCAAACCAAACCCTAATGAAAATAACTTAGAAGTGTTCTATGTTACAATTTCATAGACTAAAGTTGGAGAAGATGTGAGCATGAAATTTTTCACATACACAAAGACTAGGATCTTTTCAGTTTCTCTCTGAACATACAACAGAACATAAAGATCAAAAGTGCCACCCATTTCTTCGCCAGAATACGCGAGCGTTTTCTTTAACACGAGCCTGTTTGATCTTCAGAAACAGCTTATAAGCCATTTCTGTTTTGTTTGAAGCCATTAGTTTATTGCTAAGCCTACTATAAACAAGGCGGTTTGGGCAAAACCCTTTGCGTATGGCTTCTTCCATTACAAGCACAGCGTTGTCTAGATGCCCAATGTTACAGAGCCCATCCACAATATACTCGTAGACGTCCACGTCGGAAGGATATCCAGACTCTTGCATTTCGTCCCACACATTCAACAACAACCCACATTTTCCAAATCTTGATAATCGATAAAGCAACAGCTTATATGCGCTTTGCGATATCCTACACCCCGCTTTTCTTGCTTTCTGATAGATAACCATCGCAGCATGTGGTGGACCGTAGCTGCAAAGCGGCTTGAGAAAAGAGGTAACAAGCCCTGTGGTGGGAACAATCCCTCTTGACAACATCTCTTCGAACATCTCAAGCGCATCTGCAACCTTACGGCCTTTAATGAGCCCAGAAACAAGCTTGGAATAGGTGTCCAAGTCAGGTTCACATTCCTCATCCAGCATCCTTCGGTAGTACCTCACGGATTCATCAAAATCTCGAGCAAACATGAAATTACAGATCATAGCATTGTAAACAGTTGCGTCGGGGACATTACCCTTTTCTTTTATATTATCAAAGATCTCAACAGAATCACTGACACGACCAGCTCTTCCCAACCCTTCGATAAGGTGGCTAAAAGTCAAACAGTTGGGACCGAATCCACCCTCCACCATCTCCTTCAAAACCTTTTCCATTTCTTCAATCTCACCGAGCTTCGACCACCCACTAATCATAATGTTATAAGTAGAGATGTCAAACAGTATCTTACCTTTCTTTGCATTAAACACCGAGTTTGCAGCAGTCACATGCGAACGTTCACAGAGACACCGCAGTAGTGCATTGAAAGACTCAGTACTACATTTCACCCCAAAAACTTTGCTATCCTCAAGCAACTCTACCGCTCTACGCACATAATGAGCCTTAGTGAAACTATCCATGGCAATGGTTAAACACTTCAGATCCGCGTCAACCCCTTCGCATACCATTTTCCGTAAAACATCCATCATACAATCGAAAAACTTCCTCCTCCCTAGCGCTCTCAAAATCACATAATAGCTATCAACATCTTTCGATACACCAGGCTGACGAATCGCCCAATTAAAGAACGTAACCATCGCTTCACCACTTAAATTCCCTCGATCGACAACATTGCTCACAATCTCAAAACTCAAACCAATACCAAGACTACTCAAAGCCTTCTCTATAGCAGATTTCCCTTTCAATTTCTGAAGAAACACACCTCTAAGTTTCTCCTCTGGCAACAAAAACGAATCGATAGCTACTCGATTCTTCGAACTAACTTCGTCTTTAGCCACCGTTGAGGTTTTAGATGAAATTGGAAGCAACGAAGATAATTCAGCAAGAACATAACTCTCATCTACAACAACATGATTAGATGATTCGTAATGTTCTTCTGAGACTGTACAAACAGTGCGATTGCATAAGGCAGTCGAAATTAGGGTTCTTAAATCACCGCGATTAACGTGACGCAATGATTTCGCAACTAGGTTCAATCTCCTAAGCATAATCTCTCGATTTTCGAATCTAACACTTCTCGATTTTACCAAAAGCCCTCCTTAAGACCCAAACATAAATGGAAAGACAAAGATATGTATAAAAAAAGTGATTAGAAAGAAGAAACTTACGAAGAAGATCGAACAAGCTTTGCTTCGGAGGAAACCAGTGG